ATGTCTTAAACAGGTTTCTGCTTCTGGCAGACATCTGAGTATCAGTTGCGGACTACAGGCTGTTCTAAGTAGACTGTGAGCCCTGGACTTGCTGTAGATGTGAACCAGTCCAGCTGATGTGGACACGCCCTGTCTCTGCAACAGAGTCTGCCAAAAGCTCCAGATGGATTCCCCATTGCCTAAATTCCTTTTTTGCTTTTGACTAGCATTTTTTTTTTTTTTTTTTTCTTACCATTTCTTCCAACAGAGTCTGCCAAAAGCTCCAGATGGATTCCCCATTGCCTAAATTCCTTTTTTGCTTTTGACTAGCATTTCAACCTTCTGGGATCCCTAACTTTATCCCAAAGTCAGCAGGAAGTAGCTTGGGAAAGAATTTGCTGCCCATTTTAAATGCTAAGTCAAAATGAACTCCCTTACATAGGGGATGCCAATATCTCTCACTCCCTGCTGGGGATGCTGGAGAGAACAGAATTCCATGATTGGAATCTCTAAAGAGAATTCTGGGCTTATAAGAGATCGAGTGTTATCTTGTAGACTTCCATGAAGCTGAAGGGACCAGGTCCCCTTTCGGCAACCCTAACGGCCAAACACGTGCTTGTCTGACCTTGTCCTAGACACTAGAAAGTCAGATGCCTGCCTTGTGACAAGGAACCAATCAGAAATTAGCTGGTGGCACTATGCTTTACGACCCTGGGTGTACTTTATGGACATTGCACACAGCAATGACGCACAGAGCATAGCAACCACCCTGGGAGGGCCTATGGGCCATAACAACCAGTTGGCCAATCAACACAGGGAAAGCCCTCCAAGCCTGGAGGCACACCAATCCTAAGCCTGTGCGTACCCCTAGACACTCCCCTTACACTGTCCTATAAGACCTCTTGGGAGGCCCTAGGAGCTGTCTTTTGCTAGCCATCCGCCATGGCGGGTGGGTGAAAGATCCGAGCTAACATGGGGTTAGCTCGTTAAATTACAATAAAGCCTCCTGCAGTTTGCAGCAAGCTCTCGAATCTGCCTGGTAATTGGGGTTACTGCAGTCGTGGCCTGGGACTCCGAATACCTGAGTTTTCCAGGGGTCTAACAGAAGGCAGAGGCAGGTGGATCTCTTCAAGTTCCAGTCCAGCCTGGTCTACAAAGTGAGTCCCAGGACAGTCAGAGTTGTTACACAGAGAAACCCTGTTTTGAAAAACGACGACAACAACAACAAAAAGGAATCTCCCGCTAGTGAAGGAGCTAGTTTGTACATATTGTGTACTTCATCTTCTAGAGATTGTGAGGCACTAAGGGCACACTTCCGGGCTAGCAGTCTTCCATATGCCTGAGACTGCAAAGGAGTCTGGTACAAACTAGTGTTAAGACAATGTGTGCCATTATAATGGTCATACCATTCCCTTTATCTATCCTGTTCTTTCTGGTTGGTACCATTTTAACTTTTAACATTTCTTATTGGCTTTTCAGCACTGTACCTCTCTCTGTCGTCGGGTGATGACAGCTTTGAAGTCTGGCCAGGAGTCCAATACTACTTCCTTTTGAAAGGGATTCCCACGATTTATGTTCATCACTGCTCCATAAACCTAAGCCAGGGAACCAGAGACAAGATAATCGTACCACTAGCTATTCCAACTGGATCACCTTCTTCCTGCTCTACTCTAAAGTTACAGATATAGTCACACACATACACGATACGGATTTCTTAGAGTTACCAATTCAAAGACATTTATGGAAACTGATAAGGAATCTGTTAAATCTTGATACTCTACAATCCTGAAGAAGCTGAGTGAATTCTTGGTGACCGAGCACCATTTAATATGAGGGTGATATAAGGAGCTGTTCTGTAGCTTTCCCATCTATTTCCTTCATTAAGAAAAATGTCTGTCCTAACAACATCATGCACACACAGAACTGGTAGAAGTTGCAGCATAGCAAGGATTGTTGAGCTAATATTCATAGTATTTTCATCATCATCATCCTCAAACAGGAAACCTAAATGTCCACCAACTCAAAGGCAATGTCAATGCTCACAGCAGCCCCATTTTTACATTTACTATAATCTTTGATTTATGACATCTTTCATACTGTCACAGAGTGATCAGCAGTTGCTCTTGGATTTTAGATTGGAGGCTTGAGTGACCAAGAGGTAACAAACCTACATTTAGACTTCAGTCTTCAAGTATATTCTCACCTTCGGTGCCACCAAATTCACAATCTTCCATCATTTAAAACATGATACTTCAGAAATAACATAGTCTGCCATGGCCCACATTACTCTACAGAGTCCTCTAGAGCAACAGAAGGATGGCAGGAACAAACTGGGAAACTAACATGTGCTCATCAGAGAAGAGCAGGAATAGCCACACATCTGACATTGTCTCCGAAATTAATACAATAGAGAAACTTAGTAGGATGAGGCTTACACTACCTTGAGTGATTCAGGAAAATGACTCTTCAACATTTTCTCCAGTGTAAGTAATTTGGTGGAGCAATTTAGCACCAGCATCCTCTCCAAAGTTATATACTTCCACACCTAACTAGAAAATTGAAGATAGACATATAATTTTTCTGCCTCTGAACATTTACTCCTACTGGGAATATGCTTGGATGCTATTTTCTTTTGGTATAATGCTAATTTTTCCTCTTAAGAGGATGGAGATGAAAGGTGGGGAGGCTTGAGGGGAGTAAATCAACAAATATGTGGAAATGGAGATCACTAGATCTTGTCCTTTAAAGGGTGGTGGTGGGGCACATCCACTATATTCTGATCATCCCCAGGTGGGAACTTGTAAGAGCTGTGCTTTTACAGTTATGTATGTTTGATTCAGTTAGTTGTAAATAGTTTGTTGGCAGGAAGAGGGGAAGGCCTTCCTGGTTTGTCATTTTCCCTACAGTCACCTGCCATGTAAGTTCCAAGTTATACAAGAGAAATACAGACACCCATGGACCAATGGACACAGGGAGGAAGGAGAAATAACTGGGTTTGATGCAGTAAAAGCCCCAACTCTTTCAGAGCCGATGGTATCCCTAGCTCTGAAGGCCCCTCCTCTTCTGGAGGAACTATAATGCTTGTCAACAAACATTACCTTTAGTTTGTCCTGAACTCTTTCCTGTCTCTTAATTGAAGGATAACATGAAATCAAATGCTAGCTATGACATTCCCTAAATGCTGTGTAATATTTTTTTTGAACGCAGGTAAATGTATTTATATCTCTATCTCTCTATATAAAATTAAGTTGCAATTAAAATTAAGGCAAATGGAAAATAAGCTATAAAAGGAATACAGCTGAGACAAAGTTTGGTCTATGAACATAGACTACGGTCCTGAAGATCGAATATTATTCCTAGGTTCCATATGTGGTAACTGGCTGCCTTCTCATTAAGATTTATTTATAACTGCTGAATCAATACTGGCAATGTTGTGGCAGTTATCTGTAGATGTGCAAAGAGCAATAAAAACTGTCTCCTGAAGCACATTTCCAGTTCAGTTTAACAAAGAACTTGATTATCCTATTTCCTTTCTCATGAAAGTGCTATTTTTTACTTACTTTAAATATTTTTCTTTCTTCCTTTTTTGTTTTAGCAATTTTCTGTTTAAAATGTGAGGATAAGCAGTGGTGCAGTGCTTGGCCCTACAAGGGACAGCTATGTTACTCTCTCTAAGGCTCAGGGAGTATAGAAGTGGGGGTAGGAAGAAAGAGCCAGAGGGTGGGAGATATGCAGCAAAAGATGTTTCGTTGACATGACATGACAGGCTGTTGCACTCATGGACTTACTGTGATTGTGGTTATCTGTATAAGATTAGACCTGTCAACATTTCATCATGGATAGGTGGTGAGAGGTTCCACATCTCTGTGATTGACTGTTGGCAATTAACAGGTGTTAGGGGAGTGTGTGTTATTTTCTTCAGTGGTGTAACCATTGATGAGTGCCCCTTGATCCAGTGAATGACCTCCCACCCATGTTCAAGGGAAGGGAACTCTAATTAAATGCATCGGCCTTGCACAAAAGGAAGACATGAAAGGCAGGGGGGTGGGGTGAGAGGGGGTTGGGGGTTGGGGTGGAGGCTCATTAAGAACTCCACTGCTTAGATATTACTAAGTGCAAGGAGGCTGTGATGACTTGCAGGCAAAGCATGTTAGGTAAGCATGAGTTTTAGTGTTACTAACCAGTTCAATGAGAGCCAATGAAAAATACGTATCCAATAAACAATGTCTGTAAACAAAAAGAACATACAAAGTGAGGTCATGTATTACTTGTGAATGAAAGCAGTCTTGTAGGAACCTACCCCTGCTCCACTAGGAGCAATGCCTCAGTATTAGTTAAATCAGTGTTCTACATGATGTTACAGACTAAACCCCCCCACAATGAGAAATGGCAGACTGGGAGCTCACATTTGACACTACACTTTCCAGTAGTTAACACGGAGAGAAACAAACATGGTTAGGTACTGCTTCAGCACTCTATAAAATTACTCCATGTTCTTCCCTGTCAGTTGCTTGTTTTTGCATGCCTGCCATCTCTACATTGCAGTCCAGTTTCCAATATTCAAAACCTTCCTGGACCAGCCTCCCTTCCAGGTTCAGCTCTGGACCAGCCTCCCTTCCAGGTTCAGCTCTTGGAACCAACAAATTACTCAGGTGAAAAATTAAAATCAGACACTTCCCCGGGCATTACACACGATACTAATTTTAAAACACAAGGTGTGAAAATGCCTGATAATAAGCAGTGATGAATTTTGTAGGTAATCTTCATTAAATGTGAAGATTACATTAATGCCACAAAATAAAATATGGTAATTGCCATAGATGGAGAAAACACCTTTTACACACACACACACACACACACACACACACACAGACACACACACACACACACAGTGGTAAAATTACCAGAATGTCATATCCTTCCTACTCCACTACAGGTCCCCAATAACCAGAGTGTCTTCTAGAATTGGAAAGAACAGATGTATAACCCATTTAAGTAAACTTCTACCAATATGCTCACACACAAAGTCTTGACAAGGAAAATAAGTTTTTCAAGTTTTAAGAACTCAAGCTGTTTTAGGGATATTGTTTATCAACGAAGAAAAAGTACTTGGAAAATCTCCTTGATTAACCATACAATGGACGCATGACTCTCTTGGAAAATGGTTTTTATAAACAAGTAAAACATAATTTGTTTTCATGACGGTACACCATTTATACCACAATGGCCAGCATCTCTCTCTCTCTCTCTCTCTCTCTCTCTCTCTCTCTCTCTCTCTCTCTCTCTCTCTCCTCAGGGGAGAGCTCATATGAACATAGGCTCCACTACCATAAATTATGCAATTCACCTTCCCAAATTTGCAGAAATTTTAGAGTCACTACATGCCAGATGATCTTTGGAGCCTTGCCCTAGGAATACTCCCTTCCCTATTATGGTATCTTTGCAGCCAGTAAGCTTTAAATTGTATTTCAATTACAATTACTAATTTCAATCTGTTTTTAATCTTCTAGGGCTACCCTAACAAATCACTACAACTGGAGTCATTTAACACAAGGTCCTCTTCCACAGCCCTGGAGGCTAAGAGTCAGGGAAGGGTTTGGTAGGCATGCTGTTGTTGCTCTAGGCAAGAGTCCTTAACTCAGCCCTCCCAGCCTTTGGAAGTTGCTGAGTGCAGACTCCAGTTCACAGAACCGTGTCTAGGGAAGTTCCTTGTTGAAGAGAACAGCAATGAATACATGGCCCTCAATGAAATGTCAATTTCAAGGCTACTATTTTAGGAACTCATAGTTGTTTTCTGGGACCACAGATTTACAAGTTCTAAAAACATTTTCCTTCAGCTGTGACTCTTTGGAGGCAGCTCTGATTTCTGATTTTGATATAAACACCATGAAGCAGGAAAAAAAATTGAAAACTAAAACAAAGAAGCAAACGAAAAACCCAAAACAAAACAAAACAAAAAACACAAACAACAAAAGGCCCCTCAACAGTTAAGTTCACAATTGCTGTGTTTTCGATCTCTTTCTTTGGCACTTTAGACTTTGAGGGAAATCAATAAAAATTAAGGTTAAAAATATGATCTTTGTCATTCCTTTTTAAACAAAGTAAGTTTCTTTTGAGGACCTGTATTCCACTGCTCGTAATCACCACATATTAAAGGACTGCTGGTTCAGATGACGCATCTTTTTTATTCAAGTTGTAATCCCACCACAGCGCAGTGGGAAACTTTGTAATGCTTATTTCCCCACGGAAAATTTAAAGAGAGAAATGAAATCACAGAGAAGTGTTCTTTCCTGTAAATCTAATAATTGATTGAATCTATAAAAGGTGACTATCTTTTCTATGTCTCTCCTTCCTCCCTAATGATAGACTAATGACTTAGAGGGTATTATTTTATTACATACCTTGCTGTTGAGAGTTCAGTCGGAAACAGGTGTTTTAGCTGTGTCACCATGCAGAGCTCTTTCTGTATAAATGGTAAACTTATACATCTGAGCTACTTTCCTAATTAAGCCTTAGTGGAAACAGGAGGGAGAGTGGCCACACCTAGGCAAGGGGCGGGATTTATGCAGGGCCTAATAATAATCATCTCAAATACAGCACAGGTATTTTCAATCCATTTCTTTTCAACCCCATCTAGTCTTGTAGTGCAAAATCCAGTATGAATCTTGAGTAGGAGGTGGCTAGTAAGATTTAGACATGCAGTGTGCCTATTCATCAGAATCCTATGAGGGGAGGGGTGAAAGACAGGTAAAGGGGGTTCAATAGGAAAATAGTATTTGTACCGACTTCTCGGATGTTTTTAAATTGTTTTCAAGAAAATTATTTTGTTGCCCTAAACTTCCAAGGCTAAAAGGTCTCAGAAAAGGGTACTGGTGGAACTGAGAGTCATTTTGGGAATTTTAATTCTTTCCCCATATTCTGTTAAATGAAAAGGCAAGCTTCGAATTTCCACCACCGAGTGGCACTTACTGAGCATCTCGACACAGTTGGAAAACAACTGCAGAAATGTGTCCATGGCACTCAGCGAGTGCTTGCACAAAGCGGTCACAGAGGAGGGCACTGTTTACCATCTTAGCTGCTAAGACTAGGTAAGTTAGGACATTCTTCATAGAAGACACTGGTCTAAGGAATAAAACGAGTAACCAGCAATTTGAGAAGCCATTATGCCAATTACTTTGTGCTAATGTTAGATACTGGTATACTGGTAAACAAAAATGTAAGACATTTAAAGGCAATCAATATACCGCTTTTTTGTGGTCCTAAGAGTTTGCTAAGTAGTTTTTTTTTTTTTTAAGTAAATAGAAAGAAATATAGAATGAGTTTGAGGCTACCCTGGTCTACACAGAGATTTACAGGACAGCCAGGGCTATGCAGGGAAACCCTGTCTGGGGGAAAAAAAAAAAAGAAAAGAAAATATAGACTAAAAAAATAAACTGATACTGTTATCGCAGAGTAGAACTATGCACATGTAGAGCATCCAAGGGAATTATTTAAAGTTAGAGGTCAGGTTATTTATGGCTTTTGACAGCTAAACATCTCCTGCAATGTACGTGATATCCCAAACAAGTGTCCTGAGTAACATCAGAATGGTTGCTTTTGGCTTGAGGGAAAATAACAAAGGCAAAGTGCCCATCCCAGGAAAAATGAATTGGTTGAAGATGTTTATTCTGCAGTATGGCCTTTATAGTAAGGTGAACACTGAACTCCAAACTTAAAGAAAATGTGTGTGTGAGCGAATGTGAAATAAATATAAAAGGGATTTCCCCCAGAAAACACAAGTGATAAATATGTACTTCACTTATTTCCAAAGAAAAACAAACATCCATGCCGCTGTAAGGGGATCCACAGATATTTAGTAGTTCTGTCCAGTTGTAGTTCATAAAATTTCTAAGAAGTCAAGGCTTAACTATATTGTCCACTTCCAAATTCTGTCACTATTTATGACCTTAAGACAGGTATTTATCTTTCTGGGTCCTCAGTTTATCTACTGAATGGATATAATATTGAATATTATGAGGCTTAATCCCCATTTTGTTGTTAAGAGATTAACTATTGATATGTGACAGGTATGTGCTTGTGTTTGAGGGTATACACACACACACAGACACAGACATACAAATACACAATGGCATGTCAGCCCTCTAACATTTTAATGGTCACCAAGTTCCCTTTGTCATATTTATCTCATTTGAAAATGGGCATTTATTTTAAGAACTTCCTTGGAAATGAAAATTGTTGCAATTGGCCAAGACATACCTTTTCTATTGGTCTACAAACGATTTCATTTAAAAATGAATTCTAAAGATTGGCACAAGTTCCAGGCCAGCCTAGGCTGCAAAGTGAGACCCTTTCTCAAAAAACTCCAAGAAGGCAGACTCCTAAGCTGACCCAAAGTGGCTGCGGGGTCATTTAGTAGTAAAGAAATGTGCAAATGGGCTGCTTTGTAAGAAAAGCTCATTTGAACACATAGGGCTCACACCTGTAGATACGCTATCGCTCAACTGGGAAATTTGAATTTCTCTCTGTATTTGCTCTCCTTCTTTCTTTTCTCTTTCTTAAAGTCTAATATTTCTCGACAATGAATGAAATGTGAGAAGGCTTATACATGTTTAGGAAAGAAGCCAATGCGAACAATTCAAATGCTAAATTTTGGCAGGTGCAAACTGCATATTTTCGGTAAACAGAGAATGAACTGAAATGATATCCAACCAAATACAACAACTCCTTTAATGGTAAACTCTACCACAGGTGTTTCGCAGTAAACAGAGCCCAATTGTTGAAGAAATGCCCAACAGAGCTGGCAGGGAAGGGAGAGGCTTACATAACGAATTTTAAATGACTGACATGTCACGGAGGCTGTAATTTACCTGTATAGTAGTTTTCCAAAACAGTTATACCAAGTTATTATCCTATGGCATTTTACTGAATACTTACTTCCTTGTTAGTTTAATTGAAGTTTTCATTCTGAGTTCAAAATAATTAATAAACATTTGCCACCTAATTGGTGAAAGAGCTTATATTTTGTGTCTATTGGATCATTTGAAGGTTGAGTATCTTTCAAATATTTTTTCACTTTAAAACTTTCCCTTTAAGAATTAATCAATTTACTCTTGGTATTTCACTTATACCTATTTTGTGGTTCTTTATATATAAGACTTATTTTAATATATGTTGAGTTCCCTAGTGTGTACAGTGTATCCAGTATCAGGCTTGGCTCTTAAATCTTTCTGAAAACCATCAGAGCGTCATACAGTTATCACTTTTTATTACAGTGTTATCTTTGTTTGCTAGGTCACTGGGTATTGCTACACTGACACCTGTTCATTCCCACCTTATTTAGTTTCTTGGCTTCTATTTGAATATTGGCCATGTATTTATCTCAAATCATTCATAAAACATATGTAAAAATAAAGCATAAAAAAACCAAACCAAAACCAAAACCCTGTATGTTTCTGATTGTTATGTCCCAGGGAGTAGCACAGATCCAAGTTAAAGGCTATACCTTCCAAAGCTACAATTCCAAAGCTAAAATTCTAGTTGACTTGAAATCATCTATCAAGCAGATATTCTGAGGAAAACAGCATTCTGGTATAAACGCTTTAGCTAATGTCTTGGTGTTCTATTAATCTAAAAGCTTGAAGTTTTCAGTTGCTAAGTGCGGGGTTTTATGGCACTCTGTGCATCTATTCCTTTCCTGAAGTTTTCCTGACCATTACTTCTGAAGATGAACCTGGTTCTGATTCATTGGAACTGAGCAGCTACAGGATTCGCAAGACACGATTTCCCTCTCTATATAGTAGACATCAATCCCAACATTTAACTGCAGGTAAATTCCTGGGAGCTCTGCTTGGGGGTATTAATTTCCTTAGTAAAGCAACAAAAAAATTCCTTACTAGAAATTTTTCTTACTGAAAATTTAATTGCAATTGTAAGTAGGTTAAAAAAAAAATCCAAGTCAATGTACTACAATTGCTTAGAGAAGATTTTTGACCTGCTTACAGAGTTATTTCTGCAAATACATAAACTTACCATGAGGCAAGGTTTATGCAAAAAGACTTTGGTGGGATACAGCTTAATATAACTAATGCTGTCTTGGTCAAAATTGCCACCTTGCCTGTGAGCTGGTCTGGCACATCTCTTATAGTTGCTATGAGATCAACACCCATGGTGGGCGCTAACACAGGCCATCTCCTGACACATATTAACAGCTTCTCAGAAAGCCCAGGTACATTTGGTTAGCTGTGGGCCACTTCTGTGTAGCTCCCCACAGCCACCTTTCTTTCTACTGCTGGGTGCCGGAAATTCCTATCTAGCCACCAGCTATACTGGTACCGGCAGGGCCTCATTCATTACAGTTTACAGCGGTTCATAATCCTCGACTGTCACATCCTCTGCTCATCTTAGTGCCTTCTACCTTTGGCAGTCAGTTCTTCTATGCTGGCTTTCCCCCAAACTGTTTTCTTTCTTGCCATTTTAAGGGATAGATATATTTATCATCTACTTAGAGGATGCTTTGATGATAGCAGAAAATGACCAAGCAGTCAAGAATCAAAGGACCAAAATGTTTTTACCTTCAAAATAAAAACATCTGGAAAAAAAAATAGCAGTACTACCATAAAGATCAGGGATTTAAATAGGCATTTGGGATTGTTCAAGTTCTATATGACCAGACAGAAAATGTAGGCTATTAGCTAAAGGGAGAAACACACTCACGTTTTTTACTGATTAGGTGCTACATATAAACTCTTTATATTTACAAAACTACTTAAAATAAATAAGTTCCATTTAGAAATCTTCAACTGTTACAACATGGCCTTTTTATTTAATTTTAAAAATCATTCTTAGTACACAGTTTTAGCAAATAATTACAGATGTAGCATATATGTAGCTGCTAGATTTAGCAACTGCTATAAACCATTTTTTAGAACATTAGATACTAATGATAGGCCCACAAGGCTATTTTTAAGGTGGGAAAGAGAGGGTGATTGTTCTGCAGAAACATCAGCTTCGTGGTATTATTACAGTTAAGCTGTACAACGTCCAGCCAGATGTGTAGCTCACACATGGAATTCCAGCACTCAGACGCTGAGGCAGGACTGCTGTGAGTTCAAGGCAGGATGGGTGACACAGAGCCAGCCCAGGCTACACAGAGAGGGAGACTCTGTCTTAAAGAGGCAAGTCTTACGATTCAAAAACAGTAAGTTAAAATGGAACAATGCTCAAAAACAAAAACCAACTCTTTAAGAGCCATCAAGTTTCTTATAGGCTTCTTGAATGAATGCTGACATGTTCTTCACTGGGGATGAATTATGAAGGACATCCAAGTCCTTCAGAAGAGCTTTCTGGTTTGGAATTACTGCCAAAATTTCTTTCTGTGGGTAAGACAGTATGATTAATTACAGAAGTTTATGATGAAAAAAGTCATAGGTCTGTTATTTGGAGACATATATAATAATCTTAAGGACCCACCACCCAACTAATGGCCATTCACTTTCAAGTAAGTCTTTCTTTCTCCCATTCCTGCCCAGCTGCAGCACTACAGATAATAAAATGAGCATTAGCATGATAATATCAATGAGCTCAATGGAAGAAAGATAAACTACAAGTGTATCCATAAAGAGCTGTGTGTCAGTGTCAAAAGTTAGAGAGGTATATACCTATAATTAGGACTATACAAATATGTAAATATATATAAAGGAGTATAATATAAAATTAATCATTTCTATCAGTACTTTATAACAATATATCTGTGCAATGGAATGTTATATAACTACTGCTAAGAATAGTCTACATGAACTGACAGAAAAGGTTCAAATTATATGACAAGAAAGGTAACTTGTCAAAAAATTTATAACAGGATTAGTTTGTTTAAAGAAATGGAATATGGTTTTATATGAGGGAGTGTGGCATGCGTGCGTGCGTGCGTGTGTAACACAGCCTAGTACTTACTTGAAGTATGGGTGCTTTAAGACTTTTCTGAGGAAGTTCTGGAAGAGACAGTACCCTATTACTATCCACGTGAAATTTCTAAATAGAAACAGAAAGCTAGGGATTATTTCAAAAGGCTGGTTTTGTTCACCTCACAAAACTCAAGTCATCTTGGTAACACATTAGCATTGAACATTATAGTTGAATCCTAGCAACACGGTTTGTAAGCATTACCTCTTTCACCTGCTGCTCCTCCTCTTCTACCTCATTTGTCAGAATCTCAATTTGGTGCTTTAGGCTCTGAATCGTCTCAGTCATTGATTCTGTAGTCTCTACTATTTTGTCTATTTCTTCCTGAGGCAAAAAGATCAGTTAATATTTTAAAGGAAATAGCTTATAAGTGAAACACTAGCAGATTGTTTACACATAATGCCTTATATTTTAAGACACTATGGCAGAAAATGTTTACTACTTTTGCTTATCTTTCAAAAACAGAGCCCCTAGAAGGCTGCTTGGCTACTATAACATGAACTGTAAGGAAACTTACTTTTATGGGCTATGGAGCTAACTGTCCATTAATGCTTCTTCAAAAGCTGACTAGTACCAGAGGTTCTATAGAACCTTCATAGGAGTCTTGCAGAGCCCAAGACTAACGCTACCAAACAGCAGCATTTGTTAAGTAGCATATAATTTCAAGTGCTAGAAAAAAATGAATATATTTTTCATTTTAGTTATAACATTTGAATGTCCATTTTAATATGCCAAAAGAATGAAATGGTAGGCAATGGGGCTAGGTATTACTAAAAACACAGTATGAGCATTTTGTAAATTAAAGAAATATGTTAATTTATAGAGAAAGGCAAAGAATTATGCAAAATGAATGAAATTAGCTATAGAAATAACAAGAATGTGCTGATTGCAGACCAAGTACAGTATAAACCATGTTCTGCGTTATTAAAGCTGCACCATTTTAAAGTGTATCCTAGACATCATACCACGTCATCTGTAAATATTTCAGCGCACAACTCTAAAGGACTAAATGAAGAGTTACATGTAATAAAAAATGAAGATTTTCATTATGACACTAGGAATGTTGGCATATATCTATAATTCACTTGAGCATTCAGGAGGCAGCGGCAGGATCCTCCCTCCCCCCAATCACTAAATGAAGAGTTACATACAATAATGAATAAAGATTTTCATTATGACACTAGGAATGGTGGTATACATCACAATTCATTGGAGTATTTGAGAGGTGAGGCAGGAACATTTCAATTTTATGGTCGGCTCAGGGAAATTAGCAAGAATCTGTCTCAAAACAGAATAAAAAGCCTAGCCATGTAACTCAGTGGCAGAGTGTTTCAGGCTCTGGGTTCAGCCTCCAGGATCACAGGAAAAATGTGAATCACAGTTAGATTTAAAGTTGATTTCATCCCATTGCTTTTGTTATCCTCTTGGGCATTCCTATCATATGTATGCTGCACTGAAACGCACCCTCACCCTCCACTCGCCCACCTTGGATGAAGCTCACTCCTCTGAGTGAGCTTCAAGGAAACCATTGACTGCATCTGGATTTCTGCCATTGCCATCCAGTTCTAACTGGAAATGAGAGATACTTTCCTATAAAGTCACACTATCATTTATTGCTTGCTTCTGAACACTCTTGTTTGACACAAATAGTGATGGTAACACTCACCATTAGCATAGTTTAAAATACTCACAAAAACCTGATATTAATGTCATGTCACTGTTTATTAAATGGTAGAGGTGGCACCAATACTACAAGATGGTCAGAAGCAGGGATGGAAAGAGTAGGGCCATCACTACCACTACATAAATATATCTCATTATTTATAATATATGTGGATGCATTGCACAACATTACTCTTCATACTCAGGAAGAATTGGAATTAATTAGTTATGTATTTGAGTTACTAGATGTTCTTCCCAACCTAGTTCTTGCACTAACTACTGTCACTACCCTGAAGGCCTACTCAAACACTAATGCCACCACATTTACAAACTACTTCAAAACTATCTGAGGATGGTATGGTCCAATTGTTTTGGTTTTTATAATCAGTGAGGTCTCTAACATTGCTTTTCTTACTTGTTCAAATATCAACTAATTAAAAGCTGAAAGTTGTGCACTGTATCTGACAGGCTGGCATTCTACTATAAGCACTTTGTTTATGGCTCAGTTGAAGAGAGCGAAATTTTTCTCAGATAAATACGACAAGGGTTAGACTCTTCAGACTATGTGAGGATAAGAGATGTAGCTATGGTATGCTTGGACAGAAAGTCCTCAATATACACGAGCTATAGAGCTAGTAACAACTGACACAATGACTTATAACCTTCCATAACATTATGGAACTCATGTTTTGGATTTCATAGTATTCAGTGAGAAGACTTGATAATTAAAAATATCAACAATTCAGCTAAAAGAGAGTAATTAAAAGAATGGGGCTACCCATGCATAAGAACTTTTGGCCAACACAGAACAAACTAAATAGTATTTTTGTAGACTTTTTGGTCTTACTGTGGTCTTCTTATTTATTTTGATTTCCATTATTGTGTTTTTCTTTCCTTTTTTTTTTTTTTTTTTTTTTTTTTTTTTTTTTTTTGTGTGTGCTTTTTGTTTGTCTAAAAGACAGACAGAGCAAGAACATACAGTTGGATAGGTGGGAAGGTGGGAAGGATCTGGGTGAAACAGCAGGAGGCAAAAGACATGATGAACATATATTAAAGAATTTTTGAAAAATATTTACATGAATGGAGCCGTTACTTGATCACATATAAAGACTTCAATTTTAGAGGCCTAAAGTTCAAATGAAAGCTTTGCTTTCATTACAAGAAACAAAAACCAACAAAAAACCCTCAATCCAAAATTTGCATTTATTACTAGACCAATGCTACTATGACTTAAATTTACCCTAGTCCCCTGGCCCTTTCGAATGTCATACCTGTAGTAAAGCCAGTTCCGCTTTATTAGCTCTTTGCTGTGCCGTTTCCATTTTCAGCAGATTTGACACATTAGTTAAATAGTTCAGCTGTCTGGGAGGGACTTTCACTGTTCCACACTGTTGTAGTAATCTTAAAAATAGAATTAAACGTGTTGACTTTTGGTAACATTGCTACTTTTTTGTTTTTGTTTTAAAACTTTCAATTTTTTTTTTCTTCTGCTCCTATACTTGTAAGGGTTACAACGTTCTGGTTCCCCGAACCCCCAGCCCCCCAATAGGTAACTGCATTCCTCCCCCAAACAAATCATCACCTTCAGTACATTAACAATTATCAAAAATCATGGAATGCTAAAGCTACTTTACTATAACATTTTTTTTAGTTCACAAATTTAGAAGTATATTTTAAAAACATAATTTCCTACTACTGTTTAGGCTTTCTATACTAATGTAGCATGTAAGCCTGCCAGTTTAATATGGAATGTTGAATAAGAGAAAGAATTCTAGAAAAAAATTTTTTTTTTTTTTTGAGACAGGGTTTCTCAGTGTAGTGTAGCTTTGGAGCCTGTCCTGGAACTCACTCTCAACCAGGCTGGACTCAAACTCACAAAGATTGCCTGCCTCCCAAGTGCTGGCACTAAATGTGTGAGCTGTTAACTCTGCCTGGCTTAGAACTCTAGAAGTTTTAGGTTAGACCCACTTCTCGATTTTAAAGAATCCAACCAATACAGGTTAATCTAAACGATTTCAAAGATAACTGAGTTTTCTAGTTGAGGGCAGATAGATAATGATCTCTCCATGCTTTGTTGTAGAGCACTGTGATGCCAATTCTACTTTATATTCTAATTAAGGTCTTACTGATCTGTGTGATCCCCGCTTCCAGGAGATGGCAAAAGAATATTCTCAGACATGATTCTTCACTTCGACAAGAGTGAAATGAAGGAAATAAACTCACTGCAGTTGCTTCTGCCACAGTATCAGTGTGGGTTTCCTAAAAACTTAGGGTGGCCAACAAGTTGAACTCCCTCCCAAAGCTAACACCCAAAATGTTCCAAAATCGGAACCATTTTTGATTCCAAACTGATGTCACTGATGGAAAATTCACCATTATAAAACACTGACTCATGCAAAAAAAAAAAAAAAAAAAAAAAAAAAAACACATTAAAAATATTGTATAAGGGCTGTTAAAATGGCCTGGCAGGTAAAGGCCCTTAGCAAGTATACCTGAAGATCCGAGTTCAGTGCTTGGAACACACACAAGGAAGGAACACAATGTAGAAGTAGAGAACCAAGTACTCAAAGGTGTGTTTGACCTCCAACGGCATGCCACAGCATCTGCTCTCCCTTGTGTATGCACACACAAAGTTTTAAAGAAACGTTTCATAAAATGAATGAAGGTGAAATGACAAGATAAGTAAATGAATTTTGTGTTCGGATTTGGGCCCTATCTATCCTTAAGACTCCTGGTTGTTTACATGTAAATATCATCAAATCTAAAAGTAATCTCAAACCTGAAACACTTCTGGAGAAAGAATTTCAGAGAATGGATACCTGAACTAAAGATTTGAGGGCAGCTTCATTTGAGTGGAACTCACATTTATCTTTTAGACATCATGGTCAAAACTTTAGTCTTCATAAAGAAAAATGTTGGTGGCACAAACCCTACAGCTAATCAGTCTCACTAAACTGTTATGACAAACATCACTTTGCTACAAAGTCATCACTAGACTACAATAAATGCAGTCTTTCTATAAGACCTAAGCAGCATTTTTTTAGTTTTGAATTGACATAAGGATTGCGGTTATCCTATGCTTATTAAATCAGTTATGTGGAAGCTTCTATCTACTATTCGAAATGTTGGAAGTAGTGGTTAGATTTCCAAGAATCCCAAAAGCTCATAAAACCAGCACATCCTGAAGACAGTTACTACATCAAGAACAAATCACTATTTCTCACTGGCTTCTCAGCGCAGTTTGCTTTAGAGGTTGTAACAGCTCATGGTTTTGTCTGCCTAGAAGCACTTTCTGTCTGCTCGTGGGGGTAGGCATATGACTCAGGTTAAGCAATAAAATCAGTCCAAACATAGGAACATTTTCTCAGGCAGGCCAGTCCGAGAAAATCCCCAAATTTTCTGAACTGACACTAAGGAGTAAGAGCTTTTCTCTTCCTGTTCTTTTTACAAGGCTGAAGAGATATGTATAGGCTTTATATACTGTGAACATCTGAAAACTTTAAAAACAAAGTAAGTATTCAGGAAACTGAGGCAGGATGTGTAGCCTGAGGTCAGACTGGACTGCATAATGAGACTATCTCAAAGACAAACTGTGAAATGAAGCCAACATGCAGAGAAAAATAGGTGAGATTAACTTATGCAAATGAGTTCCCACCATAAATATCAATTTGGGAGGTATTATGTTAAAGAAAGTTAATTATTTTATAATTTACTTTTTATTTTTTTTTCACATCGGTATTTTGCCTGCATGTATGTCTGTGTGAGGGTGTCAGATCTTGGTGTTACATTAGTGAGCTGCCATGTAGATGCTGGGAATTGAACCCGGGTCCTCTGGAAGAGCAGCCAGTGCTCTTAACCGCTGAGCCATCTCTCCAGCCCCCTAAAGAAAGTTATTTTACACACTTATTTTATCCATTACATATGGTGATGGACCCAAACACAATCCATCACTGGTCACTTTCACTCATGAAATGTTTCAAACATATTAGAGAAATGCTATTAACTTTACTCAAAGTTCCAAGTTAGGATTTGATGCTACACTCTGATGTATCCGTAGAAGTAAGTTTAGCCTGTGTATGACTATTTTGCTAACTCAGGTGTGCAGCTGTACATATGTGTAGGAGCCAGAGGTTAAACCCAGGTGTTTTGCTCCATTCCCATCTACCTTGTTTTTCTGAGGCATGATGTCTTACTGGCCTGGGACTTGCTGATTGGGCTAGGCTGGCAGTCCCGGGAACACCAAGGAGCATCCTGTTTCTGTCTTCCTGGTACTGGGATTACAAACTTGCAAATTTTATGTGATTTTGGGAAGTGAACTCAGGTCTTCATGCATGTACAAGCAAATTACCATTTGATTTTTCTTTACATCACTTGTTATGAGTTTTAAATCTACATTCTGCATATAAGGAAACAGGCATTATTTGTTTATATGTGTGTGAATGATGAAATTAGAAAATGGATCATGAGAGGTGAGAAGGCAAGGGGGGAGTACAATGGAATAGATGTGATAAGAAAGAAAAAAGGGGTGGAGGGAGGAAGGAAGGGAACCAGCTAGACAGTTAAAGGATTACAGGGAAAGCAATGAATAAAAATTAAAGAATAAAGACACAAGTATATGAAAATGTCCATTGGTTTGGTACGTGAACCTAAAAATTAATAACTAAAAAGTTTTAAAGGTAAAATAGGGAGGAAATAGGCAAGGCTTGAATTAGTTCCACATGAAGAGAACTTATCTTTTTAATAACAAAGGGTGATCACTGTGTACTTTATTTTATTGTCTTCCCTACGTTCTGACTATTCGTCCTATATTACAACAGACTAGCTTTAATGGCATTAGCTTATGTTTTTCTCTTTTGGATATGCTCATGGTCCTTTACTATCATTCTAGTAACTGGCCTGTGAGGGAACTCTGGAAGTTTTGTCATCTGCCCACTGCGTTCAACAAACACCCACACCTGCCCCACCCCACCCATGCCACTCTTTCTGTAGGTTAAGAACAATTCTTGAAAAAAAAAGTAAAGAGAACTATGCTCAAATGACCCCTCACATGAAGAGAACCTGATCACAAACATTTCTTTCAACCCTGGAACTGAAATGTAAAATATCTGTATGTTACAAAAAAGTCCTGCACTAAAAGTGTTTACTCCAAACTACCAGTGTTGATGTGGCATTTAAAGAACATTTAAAAAGCAACCTCCAATAGTAACATGCCACAAGATTAAGAGCAATTTCTGAGAACATTATACTTGTTGCTTGTGTAAGTAATTGAGCAATACAATATGAGATTATGTGGGCTAGTTTTTGTCAATTTGACACAAGTTATGGTCTTTTTACAAGAGGGAACTTCAATTGAGAAAATACCTCCACCAGACTGGCCTGTGGAGCATTTTCTTTCTTTCTTTTTTTTTTTTTTCTTTTTTTTGTCGTTTTATTGATTTGTTTAATTATTATTTGTTTGTTTTTCCCATTCATTTATTTAGCTCATATATAAAGTCATGCACAATTATGATACACAATACAGTATGTTCACAATGGCATGGCTAAATTAAACCAATTAACATGTTATATCACACATATTCATCATTTGTGTTTTGAGAACACTTAAAGTATACTATCTCACAACTTTTAAAATATAGCATAATGTTATCAACCATATTTATCATGCTCTCAGTAGACTTCAAGACTTCAGAGAGTCCATGCCTCTTGTTCAACTGTAGTTTTAAATCCTTAAACCAATCATTTCCCCATTGTTAAAAGACCCACATTGAAGCCTAATAGCCACAATTCTGCTCTCTGTTCCCATAAGTTCATCATTTCTAGGTTACACATAAAGTTGAAATTGTGTGACATTTGTCTTCCAGTGTGTCACTTATTATTATTATTTTTTTTGGTAAGCATATAACTTTACTACTTACTAAAGATGAAATCAAATTTGCATGCACAGGTGAGCACTCACTGAAACACCTTGGATTCATCACATATTTGAGTTTCAATTAGCATATATCTGCAGCCATTTTAACAAAATTGTAGAGACATCCAGCCCACTCCATTTAAAAAAAAAAACAAAAAACAAACCAAAAAAAACCCCAAACAAACAACAACAACAACAACAACAACAAAAAAGTAAAAAACAAAATTCCAGAAAACAGCACAGTTCTGTTACTCTTGTGGTACTTGGCACCATTTTTTTTTAAATTAGCTTCTCAGTCATCATCTGGGAAGAAACCATTCTGAGCAACATCATTAAACTGTGGAACATTTTCTTGATTGACAACTGATGTAGAAGAGCCCAGCTCACTGTGGTAGTACCACTCCTGGGCTGGTGGGTTTGGGTGCTGTAAGAAAGCAGACTAACCAAGCCACCAGTAAACAATGTTCCTCCATGGCTTCTGCTCTAGTTTCTATCTCCAGGTTTCTGTCCTGACTTCCCTCAGTGATCAATTATAAGCTGTAACGTGAAATAAACCCTTTCCTTTCCAAGTTGCTTTTAGTCCTGGTGTTTTATCAAAGCAAAGGAAAAGCTAATTAAGACAGAGGTGAAGGCAAATAATAGGATATGACAATAAACAACAGCAATGGAAAACATAAGACAAATTAAAAGTTGTGAACTATTACTCTAAGTTCTTAAAATTAAAGTATAGAGGAGTTAGTCATCACATATTTTTCAAACACTGACACAAAATACAGAGCAGTGAAATATGACAATAAAAGTTACCTTATGACCATATTATTTCACATACATTCTCTGGAACTTAAAAAGTTTGTATTTTCAAACTTCATTTCATGTAAAAAGTAATGAAAAAGTATATTATACTGAAATCATTCTAGAAAACAGGAGCGAATTATATTTAAAAAATAATTATAGGTCAGGTGGTGGTGATGCATGCCTTTAATTCCAGCACTTGGGAGGTAGAGGCAGGCAGATTTCTGAGTTTGAGGCAAGCCTGATCTATAGAGGGAGTTCGAGGACAGGCTCCAAAGCTACATAGAGAAACCCTGTCTCAAACCAAACCAAACCAAACCAACCAACCAACCAACCAACCAACCAACCAACCACCCAGCCAACCAAACAAACAAGCAAAAAACCCCAAAACCAAAGTGAATAAATAAATAAAAGGATAAAAATAAGTATAATTTAATCATTTCCAATTGCATATTACCTTTTCTTTAAGCAGTTGAGGTGATACTGAATTTGTTCTTTTCCTTTAATGTTTTTGTTTAAAATTTCTCTGGGGGAATAAAGAGACTAACTAAATATTACTTTGAAACATGATACAATCTGTATTTCAAAACGGTTTCAAATATTCAACCTTATTAGCTAGGCAGAACCACTCACCTTCTCTTTTATATGAGATACACTTTAAAAAATAATAACTTACCTCTAACTGAAATTCATGATAATAAGATTTTTAGTACTGTATATCTGTTTTTATTACTGGTGTATATTAATACAATATAGTGGGTTTTATTTTGACATCCTCATACACACTCTCACACATGGTAATTTGATAAGGTTTCTCTTCTATTACCCACAAAACACTTTAAGCAGAACAAGGACATTTTCTTTGAATCATATTGTATTATAATAATTCATACATTCAACTTTTCTTTTACAGTTAAATTGTACTGTAGAGGATTTTTCTCTTTTAGCTTCCTTGTATTTTGTATAACAAAGTAATTTTCAGAGAAAGTGTTACTGTGGACACAACTTCTGAAGAATCAATACTGACAGAATAATTTAAAAATTTTATAGATTGCAAATCTATTTTTACAGTCTTGATTTTTACTTCACTGACTGGCTTCAAGTGTGGACAATTAAGCAAACCTTTTCTGCTAAAGGCTAGTACTGTCATGGTTTAAATGTGATACGCCTGCCATTGGCCAAGTGCTGAACGCCTGTGGAAACTGCAGGGAGTAGTGACTGGCTGGAGGATAGACAGGACACTGGGGTGTGTTTCTAAGTGACACACTGGTCCCTGGTGCCTGTCCCGTGCTCTGCTTGCTCCAAGTCATGCTTCCATTGCTGTGATGTTCTGCCTCACAAGGGTTCAGAAGCAACGGAGCTAAGACTATGGACCAAATCTTCTGAAAGTGAGCCTAAATAATCTTTCTGCTGTTTAAGATATTTATGTTAAACATCCTGTCACCTCCAAGAACAAAGTAACTAAAATATGTATTAATATTTAGAAAAATGTAAATAGTAAATACCTAAGTAGGAGTAAAGAGTTGCAAAGGAAATATATGAAACTCACAGAATTGCTGATTCCATCATATTTTGCAAATATTCTTCAGTCGTCTTTGGAAGAGGCTGCCAGTTTGTTCTCTTTTTGGATGCTACTCTTACCTGTTTTCGGTTAATACATTTTGCTTCTCCTGTTCCTGGAAATATAAGTGAGTATAATTAATATAGAAGGTTGCAGTTTTACTTAAGAATGACTTTAATCTAAAGAACATTAATGGCATTATGACACTAAGATACTCTACTCTTTAATTCACATCTTATTGCAGCTACAACACCTCAGTCCTGAAGATGAATTTGCCCATTGCGGTGTTACCTGGTATCAAGTGACACTGAAATACAAATACCTTTAGATAAAGTTATTATTATTAAATTTTGCTTCTGAAAAATGACTTGAATTTTTATAAATTTCAATAAAAATAGTGGAAAACTATTTTTTAGAAATGACAGAACAAGCTACAAATAGACATTGACTGTTATACTTTTATATCAGATATGAGTAATTCAGAGTGGGGAACAATGATTTACTTTCTAGTTCTTATCAGTGTGGCAGATAAACATCAATAGTATCTGCCAGAGGAACCGAAAATTGCATTGTTTTACTTACAAGGCATAAGCAATAAGCAGAGTTCTGGCTTCACAATGATTCAGTAAGGAAAAAGGGGATATTATTATGCAAGTTATAGGAGTGCAGGAATTATGGAAGAAAAAGGTATGGTACCCCAGGAATTATAAAATCAGAACAACTACATTGAAAGGTGAGGGGTGAGGAATCATAAAGAAATGATGTTTACAAAAATGTGAGTACTTCAAACTAATTTACTTTGAAAAGCTTAAGCTAGTATTATAAATCATCTGTATAGTACTAGCAGAACCAAAAGCACAGATGTCTTGAAGAGAAAGAAGAGTGTCTTTTTGTCAGAGATGAGCAGTTCAGAGTGGGAGATAATGATTTGTTTTCTAGTTCCTATCAATGTGGCAGACAAACTTCTATATATTTGCTAGAAGAATTAAATACTGTGAATATGGCTGCTTATGACCACCTTTTACTACCTATGAGCTCAAAACTAAGATGCTGAAAATTTCTTCATGAAAATCGGTAGATGATGCTTTAAACGAGACATAAAAGAGCCATACCTTTAGAGGACAGATGCCCGGAATGACTTTTGTTTCTTTTCACTGTGTTTCCAACCTAGATATATACAAATAATTAAACATCAGATAAAAAATGTCTTTGCAACACATTTCCATGTATATTAAAGAGTAGTGTTTACTTTCCAGTAGTAGAAAAAGTATACAGCTGTTTCCACAGATAGGCTAGATATTATGAACAAAGAATACACTAAAGCATGTGATATGAATGACAGTTTGTAGTAAAACTGACTACAGTTTTGGTTTTTACAGTTATGGGTTTTAAAGGAATAGATGATATTTCTAATCAAAGAGATCTAAATGACAGATTCAATATTTTATTACCTCATTCTCTGGCAAATCCACTTCCTCATTAGCTCTTCGTTTTGAATTTCTCTTTAACTGTTGAGATTTCTTCTTAGAAGCATTTGCTTTACCAGGCATTTTGATTTAAACAGTACAATTACAATGATAAATACTCTGCAAAGGTGAAAAAAAAGAGAAAAATGATAAAGGCTTATACTATCTTTTAATGAAAAGGTTACATGCAATTGTTCTAAACCATGTTTTCAGAATTTGGGAAAAACATCTTATGCTCTTAAAACATTTAAACATGTTTTAAAAAAATCACTTTGGTGCTGTAGTTTGTAGCACAGTTGGTTGAAGCCTTATCTAAAATGAATAAAATCCCCAGCATTGAATAATCTAGCTTGGTGTGCATGTCTGCAATTTCAGCACTCAGGAAGGTCATAAGTTAAAGGCCAGCTTCAGTTAGAGTGAGTTTGAGGCAGGTCTTTTAACAAGATAAATGACACCCTGTCTCAAAATCAAATAGCTGTCATTTGTAAAATGATATTAATTTAATTTCACTCTTAAAATGGCTACAATTTTCATGGTTTCAGAAAAAAATTAAAGATGCTTTTAAATTTATATACTCCCGAATGCAGTCTTATCCCCATTTTTAAATTCAAGACAAAATTATAAAATGGATGCAGAGAAAGTCAGTTCAGAGACTATTACTACTGGGTTTTAAATAACAGGTTCACCATAACTCATTCCACACTGTCAACAGTAATGTGAAAGTCTGCCAGTCCCAAGGAGACAAGCTGTACCTCCTTCCAGACGTGTCAATTGTAGGAGGGGGACAGAAATATGCCCATTACTCAGTCCCAACAAGGGACTGTGGATGGACAACATGAATGCAACATTTAGAGTAACTTATTTTCTCTAGCAGACCTTTAAAATCAAACTCATTTTTGATAAAAGAAGAGGGATGGGTTATGTATTCCTGCATTTTATAATGAGTGGACAGGCTATAAGTTAGGCATAGTTTTAAAAAAACTATATATTCACTTGTGGTTTTTTTTTTTTTTTTCTTTTTTTTTTCTTCCCCCCCGGGGACAGGTTTTCTCTGTCCCCCCCTGGCTGTCCGGGAACTCACTCTGTAGACCAGGCTGGTCTTGAACTTAGAGATCGGCGCCTCCCGCTGTCCCAAGTGTTGGGATTAAAGGTGTGTGCCCCCATAGCTCAGTCATATATATGTTTTAATTATTAGCATATTTCTACTAAGTTAGTCACCATCATTTTTCTGGCCTCTAAAAATATATAGTTTTTAAGTGTTTATGCTTACGTGCTTTGTCTGCATGCATTATCTGTGAAACACAAGTGTGCTTGGTGCTCATGAAGGCCAGAGGAGATCACAGAGCCTCTGGGACTACAGTTAGAGATGCTTGTAAGATAGCATGTGTGTGCTGAGAGTTGAGCCTGGGCCCTTTGAAGAGCAGTCCCTGAATATTTATTTTTAAATCTAAAGACTCATCTCACCTGTTTAAATTAAGACAAAGAATACATGAAAGATAACATACCATATTTAGGAATCATATATCAAATCAGGTACAAAAATTAGTAGAACCCCCCAGCCCCTAAACGTAAAAAACAACAACAACAACAACAACAACAAAACCCACTTGATCTGTATTGAACAACGCAGCACTCCCTTGTTTCAGTTCTAAAATACCCAATTCCCTCAGCTGGACTTCTACTAAAACACCAGCCCACACTGAGTGAGCTTTACTTGTGGCCCTCTTCTAGAAGAACTGACATTAAAGCAGTTATGTTCACTACATGAGAGCATGTACACGAGAGGGAAAGTGGGGCCTGAGATCGTTAGATTCACATGGTATGGAACCCTTCTCACGGCTGTTAAAGGGAGGTAGGGTCAAAGGCACTTCACGTTATATCATAGCAGAACCTGCAGCTGTTTGACAGATACAATATGGCAGAAGTGAGTCTGCTGGAGTGTACTGCCTAAACAGTGATACTAGATTCACAGCAACTAGAACGGCCCCACAAAATTGTTTCTGGTCACTGTCATATATCCCCTCAGTCAAAAATGCCCCAGGTTGACAACCAATGGCATGATGGGTAAGAACAAGCTATATAAATGGAGGACAAATGGTCCAGGTTCTCAAACTCAATTAATTAAAAATTCACCAGCCCCAGATCCAGTAAAGAAACTAAAATTTCCCATTGATAAACCGCTACCACTATCAGGTACTTGCAATGCTGCAAGGATACACAAAACTCCCAGATCAGTGCAGGAGACAGACATTGTAAGAATGTAAACAAGCGTCATGATTTCTGTCCCTGTTGCAGGTGTGCGAATATTCCAGGAGGAACAGGAAAGAAGCACTCAAGTGACTTCTTGGCAGCTCACAGGAGTGCTCTTTTCGTTCCATGAACCACTCGGTTCAGAGTCGAATGTTTCTGGGAGGAGAGGAAAACGGCACCAAGGCACTGGACTTTTTCGTTTGTTTGTTTTCCCTGCCGGTTTGCTGAAGCTAATTTAAGCCGACTTATCTCAGTTTAGACCTTTATCTGCCGGCTACAAAGGAGAACGAAGTCTGGAGAGACAGTCGGGCGCTCCTGGACCGGGTGCAGAGCTTCAGGAACGAGGACCGAGGATCTCAAGCCGCTGCCCCGGGTGGCAGAGACCTAATCTGGACATTAGACATTGCCCTTAAAAAAAAACAAAAACGACAGAGTTTACCACGAACGCCTGATGCTCAAAATCCATCCCCTTCGGGATCCACCCGTCGCTTAGGCGCTTTCTCCACTCATCGCAGTTGACTCCCGGCCTCAGAAAGCGCGCCTCATGCTTTCCGCGCCCAAAAAACCGGAAAACAAAAAAAAAAACCAAAACAAAACAAACACAACGACCCGGAAGCCGGAAGCGTCAAGAAGTAGGAGACGTGCCTTCCACGTCATCAGGAACGCGTCCGCGACGGCACGACGGGATTGGCTGGTGGGAGGGTGGTGCGACTACGCCCCCTGATTGGACAGGTCGCCAGCTCCCGCTGCAGGCGCCAGTAACCCGCGGGGATCGGGGTTCGGCTGCGGGATCGGGGCTCGGCCGCGGGATCGGGGCTCGGCCCGGTGGCCTCCCGCTGTGTGGCCTGTGAGTAGGCCTGCAGGCCCTGAGGCACCTCAGGCTCGCGAGTCTCTCCCGGGACTGGGTTCATCTTTCTGCCTCATCTCTCTGTCCTCCTCCCCGTCCTTCTTGGCCGTCCTGCTGTGACAGGGCGCCACCCGCCTTCCCCTGAAGTTTAGGTGTGCACGCCGACTGACTTCTCCTTTTCCGCCACGACACTGGAATTCGGAGGTCATCGCTGCAAAGTGCTTTTCCACAGCGCCGTGGCCACGTCGCTGTCTTCCCCGGCCTCCCACGCCCGCTCCAGGCAGGGGTCACTCGTAGTTAGAGGTGCCCTGGGTCCACGCCGGCAGGAGGCGCAGTTGTTTGGAGGCGCAGTTGTTTGTAGGTCGTTTCTGCTAGACGTGGTGGGGCAAAAAATAAGTAAGAGGTAGAAGGAAGAGGTGAAAAAGGGGAAGTCGGGTCTAATTTGCTACCCAAGTAAACATTTCTAGCTTCTCGGTTTTTACAGCATGGCATATGCCTGTGATTTTTAAACCACTTGCTGGTTTCCTTCCTCCCAACATAGCTTTGTGTTTAATGATTTCCTTTAGGTCAGTGGTTCTCAACCTTCCTAAGGCTGGGACCCTGCAGTACAGTTCCTCGTGTTGTGGTGGCCCTCCAAGCATAAATTGTTGCTACTTCATAACTGTAACTTGCTACTTTTGTAAATCGTAATGTGAGTACTTTTGGAGATAGAGGTTTGCCAGGGGGATCGCGGCCTGCAGGTTGAAAACCGCTGCTTTAGGCTGAAGTTCCTTTATGCTAGTAAGGTTCATGCCCTGTTTATCTACCACCTATGCAAATCGAACAGTGTGAGTCGTTAGCTTTTATGACGAATTAATGTGGAGCCACATATAAACAATAATGCTTGCACTTCAGAGTTATTTTTGTTTCTAAGTCACTTTTTTTTTTTTTTTTTAATTTGGTTTTTGGAGTCAGGGCTTTTCCACTTAGTCCGGGTTATCCTGAAACTCCAGTCTGTTGAACAGGCTAGCCTTGAACTTCGAGATGCGCCTGTGTGACAGGGCTGGATTTAAAGGTTCCCTGGCTTTTTCTAAGTTACTTTTATCTGGAGAATGAAATTATTTGGAGTTGTGAGGATGGCCTTCATTATTTCACTTTAACATATTCTAATCGTCTTTAACCCATTTACATATTGCTTCTTTGAATGCTTGAAATCTTTTTATGGTCTTCAAAGAAAATTTAGAAGTCCCGTTCTCACCAACAACAGTATGGTTGTGTGTTTGTGTATGCATGAAAACATGTATGTGTATTTATTTATTAGAGACAGAGTTTCACTATATAGCTTTGACTGGCCTGGAACTCCCTTTGTAGACCAGACTGGTCTTGAACTCACAGAGATCCAACTGCCTCTGCCTCCCCAGTGCTTGCATTAAAGTCACTATGCCTGTCTAGTACTGTTACCTTGAATGCTTTTCCAGCATTTATTAATTTGTCCTTTGGCTTTTCATGAAGTCCCTGTTAGAGTGGGACCCTGTTTTATCATTTGTCCAGTTCGAAGAAAGATTCATTAAAATTTTGTTTGGCATGGGTATGCTTCCTGTCTTAGATGTAGTTTTAGACATTTTTAAAATCCCTTTTAGTGTTCAACATCACTGCAGAAGTAGTGCAGATGTAAGCTCAGTATTTTCATCACTCACATTCTAGGCTTTCTGAAATCCAAGTGGCTTGAAATAAAGATGGTTGACACAGCTGTCTTGGATTTAATAGATTAAAAATTACAAAAGCTTTAGAAAATTAGTGTTGTTTTTGTTGTATTTATGTTTGTATTCTGTTCTGCTAACTTAAAAAGATCTAGTTGAGTATATTGTATTTACAGGGATATGTTATGATTCTTTCACCTACTAATTTGAACCTGTTTCTTTTAATAGCAATTATGTTGTACTCAACATAATTTTAACTTTTAACTTGATGTCAAAATACCTAGAGAAAGCACACACAATGTTAATTGGATAGAGTACTAATCTCCACAAACACAATACATTAATATAATTCATGTCCAGAACATAACAGTCATCCTAAAGGCTTCCTTTTTTTTTCTGTACTATCATACATGAATACTCCTGTAAATTCTGATGTGAAACATTTCCTTTTCCTATTTTCTAAGCTTATTTTAATAGTTCCATTAAATTCTATCATTTGTATATGTTGTAATGCACTTATTCTAATTTTAGATGTTTGTAATGTTCATGTATCTCTAGTGGAAATAAAACAGCAGAGAATGTCTGTTTTATCTTTCATTATAAAAGTTATCCCAGGATGGATGTTACTCAGTTTAAGAGGGTAACATTTTTTAGACTTTTTATATATTGGAAATTTACATTGTAAAGTAGTTAAAAGACTTAATATTTCCATCAGTTTTTTTTAAAGATTTTAATATAATCTGCATGCATGCTTGCACACCAGATCTCCTTATAGATGGTTGTGAGCCACCATGTGGTTGCTGGGAATTGAACTCAGGTCCTCTGGAAGAGCAGCCAGTGCTCTTAATCTCTGAGTCATCTCTCCAGCCCCTCCATCAGTGGTTTTATGTTTCTTTTTCATGATCCATAATAATAACTGTTTGACAGTCTTCAAGGTTTTACTAACTCGATAGATCAGAAGTTAATGTGAAAAATAGACTTTCTAACAATTAATTTTAGATTTACTATTTTATGTATATGAGTGTTTTGCCTGCATGTACATCTTTGCACCCATTTGTGCTTCCTGCCCAAGGAGGTGGTGAGCGTCCATGTGTGTGCTGGGAACCGAACCCAAGAATCCTTTGCAACAGCAAGAAATGAGCTTAACCACTGAGCCAACTCTCCAACCTGAAAACTAGAATTTTAAATTCACTTTGCCCAGTTAGTGTAAAGTACCTGGTGAGACAACTATATTAATGAAATTTACAATTGATTTTCTTTTGAAAACTGTGGGCTTTATAGGTTGAGACCAGACTGTGTAACACCTAAGTATCAAGTAATTGAAGCAGTTTGCTGCTTTTCTCTGTGGGTAAATATTTGTCATATGCAGTGAACTATGAATATCCTAGTACTTCTAGTATATAAAATGTATAGATGACAAAGACAGAAATAAGTTTGATAGATACAGGGAGACCAGGTCATGGGCGCCTTGGATTCCTGCTAGTCCTATTTACTGCATTTTTCTCTACACATCAATGTAATGTCTACCATAAACTGAAAGATCTGTAAATGGGCTTTGAATGAAAATTAATTGAAATACTATGGTACATCTACCACATGTTGTAACCTTTGAAAAATTTTGTGGGGTGTATAATATAGTCAGATATGCATTTTATTAGTGTTGAATAGGTTGTAGGGGGTTAAGACTGGTCACTAAGACCAGCTAAGAGGCTGTGGAGTAAGGAGACTATATCTAGAACAATAGTAATTATGAATAACAAGGGTAAGTGTTTCTGTAATGTCAGGTACAAACCAGAAAAGCAAAGAAAGATGAAACAGGACCAATATTCCATCGTTTCTTTTTCCCTACTCATTGAAAGCTCCCCATTTCCTTCACACTTCTAACTGTACGTTTATTGTTTTCCTAAAATTTTCTAGGTCAGTTCTCATTTCCTTTTGGGAGGATCCATGCTTCACCATGTTGAGAGCTAAGAATCAGCTTTTTTTGTTATCACCCCATTACCTGAAGCAGCTAAAAGATACATCAGCCTCCAGATGGAAACGGCTCCTACATCAGCAGCAACCCCTTCACCCAGAATGGGCTGTACTGGCCAAAAAGCAGCTGAAAGGCAAAAACCCAGAGGACCTAATATGGCGCACCCCAGAAGGGATCTCTATAAAGCCCTTGTATTCCAGGGCAGATACTATGGACTTACCTGAAGAACTTCCAGGAGTGAAGCCCTTCACACGTGGACCGTATCCCACCATGTATACCTATAGACCCTGGACCATCCGTCAGTATGCAGGCTTTAGTACTGTAGAAGAAAGCAATAAATTCTATAAGGACAATATTAAGGGTAAGATTTCAATGTGAGACATGATGATTATGAGACATGATGACATGAGACATTGATTCATTTCTGTAAATATGATATTCATTTTGTGCTTAAATTTACTGTGAAACAAATGCATGCTTTTCAACTTCTGTGGTCAAAAAGATATGAGGCAAAGAAAAAAGTGTAAAATTCTGGGAGATAAACCACACTTCTACCCACACAGTAGGAAAGAAATGAGATGGAATTGCATGAAGGAAAGAGAAATGGGGTTTATGTTTGGAAAGCTTTTAGTTTTGTTGAGATAAGAACTGGGGGGAAGAGCTTAAATGATGCCAAACATTTAGTAGGAAATAAGGTGCTAACCATATATACAGTGAAAGCTGTGTCATTAAAAATTATGTCTGATTTCCTTTCTATTGTATGATAAAATTTTACTGTTTGAATGCTTAACTTTAGAATTTCTAGGTTTATGTTGCTTAGGGAGGGGTTGGAGTTATATTTAATGTGTTTAGTTATCTGACAAGTTTCATGGGGACTGCATATTTAGCTGAGTGGTAGTGCACTTGCCCAGTGTGGCCTTGGATTTCATTCCTAGCTCCTTTAACATTTTTAGGGGGTTATGAGAATAAAATCTAAAATTCTATGTCAGCAGTATTTGAATGACAATGACATTATGCTATGACTATGGTAAAGAACAAAAAAAATTAAAAATCATATATATGCTAAGTTGTATTAAGTATATGTGATCAG